AAGAAATTAACCGTTGTTGCAATAAGCGTACACTTATGATTAAGCCAGGTTCTTTAATTATTATTATTAAAGAAACCTGCCCTATAAATAGAATCGACGGAGTTCCATTCGAAGAACAATTTCACTTCGAAGAATGCTTAATATGAAATTAACAAAGGGAATATTACGCTTTAATGCAAGGTGCCTTTTAAGGCATAAGTAACAGACCTGCTAACAAGCTTTCATATAGTGGTTGAACATTTAGAGGTCATCAACAGAATATTAGCAGTGTACAACAGGAGAAGAGAGCATTATTTAATAGGTTGATATCATACTTCAGGAACGAATCCATAGACTTGGCAACACGTAGCAACTCTTTAATTGTCTCACATGTCTTTTAACTACGATTTCTCCATGCAAGAAATGTTAAGCACCTTAATCCAATAAACTTTCCTCTTCACTAATAAATGTTTTAATTTGAGACACGAGGTAGCACAATGCATCACAACACAAAAAATTGAAAAATGATTTTGATGACTTGTTTTCATTTAACCAGCTGCAGAACATGAATTGACACTTATTCAATGACAGTTTACTGTTAGATGTTTGCAAGTTTTAGTTTAAACGACATTTCCCATCGACATTTGCTCTTTAAAAAGCACCACATACTCATTAAGAAAGGGATATCGTTTGAAAGAATCAGTTAAAACACTACAGGATAATAAAACGAAAAAGTCAGCGTTATAAAAGGTACTCTATTTAATCCTTCCTCTTTCCGAGAGTGCCAAACATAAAAATTCCAAAATGTCGTTTTCAAAAATAATAAAAACCAATTGCTCCACGCGAAGGTATTGTTGAAGAAGAGGTTCTATTTGCATGGTCGCACCATAGCATTTCACAGTAGCATTTCCTTCAGACTCAAAAGCTACAACTACATACAAAACAATCAGGACCATGTGAAAAGATTGCTGAGGTGGTCACATTTGATGGGTCGCAAAACGAAATTTCTACAATACACTCAAACGTTAGAGCTATACTTTGGAGTGTTTTTCATAGTCATTCTGGATTGACAAGTGGAGAATATTTACGACCCAACCTATCGACCCACCTAACTATTTTCTGCTCCTTACCGGTACCTTGACTTGTTGGAACTTGAGAAAAGATGACTCCTTGAAATTCATAATTTCATTTTACAATGTTACGGGATCAAAGTGTGGCCTGTTTCTCTCTTAAACGCCATTTTCCCAAGGGAGCCGTTCACCGGCGCAGCCTCGGAACTTCTTATTCAGGCGAGATTTAAGTATTTCTCAGTAGCTTTCACTGAATTTTTACAGAAGTACTTTATCCATGGAGTCAAAAAAAGGAAGCACCTTGAACAACATAATAAACAGTACCATAGGATAGTACTGCAATGTAGCTTTCATTTGAATTTTTACTCTAATATTTCATCCACAGACTCACAAATTAGAACCATCTCATTCCACATAACAAACAATATCACAGGAAACAACTACTCAGTTGCTTTTATTTAAAAAGCCATATTTTGAGACTGGTTCGGCTTTCAGACAATCAATTCATTTGATCTGTAGTTTCTAAATCTAAACTGATAACAAAGGGGATTATCCAAACTGTGGATATGAGTCCCCCCTACGATTGGTAAGGAAACTTTTAAGACAAACTGGAAACAGTGAATCTACATGCTAATGTTACAGTTTAAAAACGAATAGCTCTTCTTCTTTAAAAATTTTAACAACAAAGCCCTATACGCAGCAAAAAACTCAACGACATAACTCATTTTCCTAGGAGTGACCGTTCAAACCTCTTCGGAGGTGGTTTTCTGATACTGTTTTTGTTGTAATGTTCAAGATGGTTCTGAGGTTTTGAACCTGTAAATGAAATAGTGATTCATTCAGATAAAAGCTACTGAGCAGTACTTTCCTGTGATACTGTTTATTATGATGTACAAGATGGTTCTAATGTTTGAGTCTGTGGATGAAATCCTAAAGTGTGACCATTCAAATGAAAGCTACTGAGAAGTATTTTCCTGTGATACTGTTTATTATGCTGTACAAGGTGGTTCTAATGTTTGAGTCTGTGGATGAAATCCTAAAGTGTGGCCATTCAAATGAAAGCTACTGAGCAGTACTTTCCTGTGATAGTGTTTTATGCTGTACAAGATGGTTCTAACTTTTGAGTCGGGACGAAATCATAAAGTGTGCGCGTTTAAGTGAAAGCAGCAGTACTTCAGACTTCTTTTCTAATGTTTATTATGCTGTAGAAGTTGATTATGCTTTTGTTTTTGTGGAAGAAATTCTAAAGTGTGACTATTCACATGAAAGCTACTCAGAAGTAATTTCCTGTGGTGCTGTTTATCATTCTGTAACGGGATTTCGACTTCTGAGTCTAGTTCAAATGAAAATTATTGAGCAGTATCTTCGTCTGGTACTCTTTACAACGCTTTACATGGTCTCTCTTTCGCACAACATTTTCATGAAGTGTTATGTCAAACCTTCTTGGGCATGAAACGGTAAAAGGGGGACCCTAAAGACGAATTACTTAAACTCAAAACCTCAAGAGATAAAAAATTAAGGGTTCGAGGCGTGGCTCATTTGAATTAACGAGCAAGCCTTGGCAAGTGGATCTATGCCAATTAGTTTAACCACAAAAAGGATTTTCAAGTATTGCCCTTAAAGTGTTGTGATCAAAACAAGTTCTAAACGCAATTCGGTTTTGGTTCGCCACCAAGCACAAATACAGCGAGGTAGCTCGTCTCTGTACAGCTTTTTGTTCTGAACATTTTTCTAGGGGTTGGTTTATGAAATGCCCGAATAATTGTTAACAGCTTCGATAAATTGGTATTTAAGCCAAGAAATTGGTGAGTCCTGATTCGTGACAAAGCTTTAGAGTACACGGTGCTAATTATATAATTGCTAGATTTCATGACTTGGCCCTAGCGTCATGTGATCCTGTGAATCTGTGTCGTTGGGGCTTAATATCACATCAGAGAGACATTACCCACAAGGAAACTAGAACAAGGTCAAATTCTCGATTCGTGACCCAACCAACAATCGCTTGCTGCCCTAAATAAATTGTCCGCTTCACGGTTTTTTTTTAATTCAGATAATATCAGCTCGATCTCTACTCACAATTATTTTTTTACCAGTTAATTGATATTGATATCACAGCCTTATATATGTATCTGAGGGTTTCTGCTTACTCACCCCCTGTTTACCGATTTTGTTTTTAAATAGTAACTTTCGTCAGGACCAAAATATTGGCTTTGGCCGATCGAGAGGTTTCGAGTAGCCTATTATGATTTGTGCGTCACGGATACCAGGTCCGTGAGAACCAGCCGACTTCCTTAGCTCAGCTTCTGAAAAGAATTCTGGCGCATAACAAAGTACCATAACCTAACGGCAGTACTTGGAAAAAAGACTTAACGAAATTATCTTGGGAACTTTCCAGACAATTCCACAAAATAAAAAAGAAAAAAGTGCGCGCATAGAATAAAAGGTTGCAACTCTAATAAAACTCCTGGATGCTTGGTAGAAGACCTGAATTTTTACTTTCGTTATAGTTAACTCAAATAGGTATGGATAAAAAAAAAGAAACAAAAAGCGAATATCGCTCGCGATAAAGGATTGTGATACTTACTTAGGTTTTTTTTTCACTATTACTTTAGATGTTTAGTTACATTGAAATAGAAAGTCTTCTCCTTCGACAGAGCAAAACCTTTAATTTTTCTGATACATATAAACCATTGTTAGACTCTAGCATTATTTTTAGAACAAACAAAAATTGTTTAAACGATGACGTAGTGAGCCATAAAACTACACAAAATTCGGTGTTCATTCACCTTAAAACTTATTAGAACGACTAAACCCGCCTTTCTGCTGTGGTTAAATTAGCAAACCAATCCGAAATTGGGTACGACATAGGTATAAAACAGCTTTGCATGCGAAAATGCGATATTTGAAGTTACATATAAATCATAAAAATGAATATTTGCTTTCAAAGTAATTTACTGCGCATATCCAAATTTAACTTAAATACTCAACACTTTGCGCACTGTCGACATCGGTGAAAAAAAAAAGAAATATAAAAATATTGCTCTTTCACTATTAGTTACTATACTAGCAAACTTGTAAATTTTATAGGTGAGATTGGGATTAGTTTGTCATAAACTTTAATGAAAACTAAGCATCGTTTTACCCTTAAGGAAGGGTACCTTTCAAGGCACTTTGAGTTTTATTATTTCACCATTATTATTCTCATTGTTAGATTGAAAACAAATAATGAGTTTTTAAATAGCTCTTCCGTTTTTTTCTCCGTTTCTTTCTTTCTTTCTTTTACTTCCCTTTGCTAATGTACATCTCAGCTTTAGCTTAAAATTGTCAGTCTTATTATTGGCTGAAATAATTCTTTGAATGCAGAAACTATTCTTGTAATGTATATTTTCAGTTAAAGATATTTGGGGATTTCCGCTTCTCTTTCCGACGATCTATATACGTTGAATCAGTTGAGATGTAGCTTCCCATACAACGTCTAAGTTTCGGATGATAACTTTTCAATCTGTGGAAATTTAAACCTCTGGGGTGTTTTTCCAGTTACAAAAACTACTTGAATTTTTTTTTGCAACACTTTGTGTGAAAATGTTGCATCTCTGCGTTTGTGTTGGCCTTAAAATTTTTCCCACAAAAAAATAATGGGACATTATTTATTTTCTACTTTTGTCGTTCTTATGTGGAAAGAGTTAATAAACAGAGAGCAGTATAACAACAACCTCTCGACCTTGAGAGAAAACAACTAGGTCGATGACGTATGTGTTAGCGTGCGATATGTCCTATATTGACCGACAATGTGTGTCTTCCCACGCCATTTAACTACATTCATTCTTAGACAACATCACTGCATCAAGATACTACCTTGACTAAAGACCATTCAACGATATTATCTCCCTATAGAAGTTATCTTAAGAACCTTGAGGCAATTGATCACCGTCAAACTAATCTCAAAACAATCTTAAACAACAAGAAGTAACAGAGATTCTCGAAGGGCGTTTCGGATTGCATGGCTCCTTGAACGGGAAGTGCATGTCGAATCAATATAAGCCGCATCGAAAGCGACCCTCTCACGCCGTATTTAAGCAGATATTTCCTTTTAATAGTCCACTGTTATTCAGAACTAGATGAGTTTAAAACAGCTACGGAAACTGGCAAGTACACCGGGAGACCATCAGCGATTGTGATACTCTCTGACTGAGTTTGTTTTACTTTCACCAAGTTTCTTCATCAAGGTTTTTACTGTTACCTTCAATCGTCATTTCTGGTAAGTAATCTGTATTTTATTACGATTCGTTAATTCTCACCACGACTAACTGAATGCGCTTGTGACCATGGACGAAATCTCGATCATCTACAAGGTCATTGCTTCGAACTTATCTCAGCTATCTTGCCAGAATGTTCGGCGCATGACGCGTGCCGCTCTAAAACAACCTATCATAGGCCGACAAAGTCGCAATTCACGCTGTCAAATATACCAAGCATATTTGTTCTCTCGTCTCAGAAGTGTATGCTTATCACGCTTCCCCTGCCGCTTCGATTCAAATCGTCCGAGAATGTTGTTGTTTGCTTTCGTGAACAACACTGTAATTTAAGTGGGATGCCCAAGTTGCTGGTTTTTATGGCGCAAAACGTTACCCGCATTTTCATCAGAGCAGATTTCGCTGACGGAAGACGAAAAATCATTTATTTATAAGTAGCCTAAGTATTACTCTATACACGGACGTCTTCATACTATGATCTATGACCACTATTGTTAACTATCATTCTATCTACCGCAGTGACCTTGATTTTTTTTAACATCTATGAATAACTCACACTAGTAAGGCACGAAAAACATTTTCGTTCATTGTCAAAAGGAACAACCAACAACTTCTCAATTTGACTAAGTTTTTCTGAACACAAGTACTTCAATTCTTTTAGCATCAAAATGTAATCATCTGTATTATTAAGCTAATTAAACAGGATCATTTTCCTTTTGAAACACATGTGCGTTATCTTGTTTTCGGGAATCAAAGAAGACAATCTGGTTTTTAAAAATAAACATTTCGGTTTTTGTATTGTTCAAAATCAATGAATAAAGCTTAAAGTTACAGAGGGTAAGGCGATCAATCCGTTCCGTTCAGCCATCGAAATCGCAAAAATGCAGTTCACATTATATATATTTAATATTGTGGGTTTCAGAAATAAGTATTAGCTTTTCTGCTCGTGCCGACCCGGGTGTTTTTACCAGAAATCAACCCTAGTGAACGAAGTGTATTAAACTCTTAACCACACATATGCAAATTGGTCTCAATGACGAAAAACGCAAACCACTTTTGAAGTGTTTTCAACGTTCAAGATATACACCCGCGGTGCTGTCTGTAATCATCTCCACTTTTATCTACTTAATTCGAATTTCCATGCCTTTGACTTGAGCGTAACAATCTGGTTCCAGCCACACTGGCTCATTTTTTCCACAAACAGAGAGCCTGTTCACAGGCTACAAGGCATACTGTTATGTATAACGGCCTGCTAAATATATACAAACCATATAACGGACCTTCGGGAACAACTTTTTTTTTTTGTTCTCGACGTGAAGCTAATGCAATCAGAACACTTATTTTACTTATTAAACTTTAGACCGTTTGGCAATACTGCAAAGAATTCGTTAATAACAAGCTGTACAAGAATTGGAAATAGATTACAAAGTAATGAAACAAATTGTCTAAGATTACTGTCACTGAGCCAGTGAAATCGCTTAGCGCCTTAAGCAATTTACCACCCATGCAGAACAAGGGAGAAATAATTCCGATTAACAACGAGAAATGCTATATACTCATTTCCCTTTGAAGGTGATACGTTCAGCAGTTGTTTGGGACCAAGGGCCTCAAACAGAATCGCACGTGGCGAGAGATGTAGGAAAGAAAAAGTATAATTAGAAGACCCGCCAAGGGGCCGGCGCACGGTTTTGTCTAATCTTTCATTTATTAAGAGTCAAAACTCCGGGAAGTCGATTTTATAAAATCGTGGAAACAAAACGTATCACATTCGTAGATTATTTCATGTATCATAATAAAAAGACAAAATATAAATACAAGAGTAGGAAGTCGCTTTCCTCCTAACGTAATTAGCTAGGCTACATGGGGTGATCTTTGATAGTAGAGAATTAGACGCATTTGGGAAGTAATTAGTGAATTTCGAGTTCATTTAGGGCTGCTAGAGTTTAAGCGAAAGTCGCCTATCGAAATTGGGATCGAATTAGAATCAACTGATAGTCTCCCTTATTTTATGATGTTCTTACCACATAGTTAAATATATCTTTACAGATTAAACGTTAATATGGTTTTCTCTTAGCCTCCCGCCGTGTCCGTGGATCTTGATATTAGTTTAATTAATTGATGTTTAATTCACATTGTAACTTCGATTTTGAAAGTATTGTCTCCGCACGAGATATCACGAACTATAAGCTGGTGCTTTTAAACAGTGGAAGCAGTTTCTGACCGTTTTAAATAAAATAAAAAAATCCTTTTGAGATAACTTCACTGAAGAGCTTTAATTTCTAATGGATAGTTGTACGACATGTACCTAAGCAAAGGTTCTTAATTACTCGACGTAAGCTACGCAACTTAACCACCTGTTTCAAATCTCCTTTTTTGGCTTTAAAAAGTCCATTCAAAAGGTCAAATCTTACAGCGAGAATAGTACGGCCTATATACGCCAGGTCTAATACATACACTGAGTCATCAATTCCTCTATTTACACTCGCGTGCCTCTAAATCACGCTAGCAAGGCATATCACCTCAAGTACTTCATTTCCCGTAGGTAAGCTCTGAGTTTCTAACATCATTCTAGAAAGAAACGCAGCTGCTATGGAGATATTAAAAACATGGTTTTGACGTTTAATTAATGGTTTGACGAAGTTTGTTCAAGTTTCAACGTTCATCTTGAAAAACCTGTTGTCAAAAATAACGTTGCGTGATCGCCCGCTTCAGTAGCGATGCGTGATAGAAATAACTTTTATTTGTGGTGTGAGAAATGTTTCGATTAGTTTTATTAATGACGAGAGTCATCGATAAGGCTATTTATCTTCACGGTCAGCACTGTCCTCACGTATGAGACTCGTTTATACTGTCTCTATCGCTGCAGAGTCATGATAGCTCATGATAAAACATTATCTCGCCATGAGAATATAAAAAAGAAATTTGCCAAAACATCATATTTACTAACTCAAGTTTTGGCCAGCTGGCAGCACATTCTCCAACCTCAAAAACACAGTAGTTTAGGGTTAATGAGATTCTTCACTACTCTATAATTACCGACGAATTTCTACCCGAGAGATTTTTCACGGCTGTCATATTTAATGGCAAAAACGACGAATCGTAAACGCGCTCTTAATTCGCCCCTGATTTGCGCAGCACGTAATAATCGACCATATGTACTGTTATCATACCGGGTTATTTTTACAGTAATTTAGCTAATCCCGTTAAAATCCTCGTAACGGCTTGAAAGAAGTAATATTTGCTTGATAATGCGGTGGGCGTAGCGTTTTTTAAATGTTAATTCAAACGAACCCATTGGCAAGCCAGTGCAAGTCATTAGTAATAGAAATGACATTTGACTTAGAAGAGCCTTCCTTTGTTCTTTATTGGGATATATTACTACTCCCAGTAGGGAACAACCTGCAAATGGGAAAGCTTCTAGATACGATGGATGCTTAACAACATTAAAGCTTTTGTTGTTTAACATTACGGCCCATTGTGTTGGCACAAAGGCCTTGATAAGCTAAAGGGCTGATTGAATTATATAATCCGCAAGGTGAATGGCAAGCCGTGCTCTATTATGTCCTATCATTTACATATGACAGTAAAAGCAATTAGGAGGGTAACAAGTGGTAGTTAGGTGTAATAGAACGGCCCGATATTGTGTTCGATATTTTGTCTAATTCTCAGTCTGTTTGTATAGTCATTGTTTAGAAGCAAACCCCCCGAGCTCGGAGCTTTTATCTCCTGGTAGCGTAGCACGCCCTAAAAACATTTGCCCATTGTCACAAACGAGTGAAGTGAACGGCTCGCAAGCTAATCAAGGAAACGTTATCTGAAACGATTACGAACGTGAGAGGCCTACAAGTGCTAGACACGAGTGAACCCAACTCGCGGGAGGCGAGGTAAGCAGATCAATGGTGTTTTGGGCTCAACAGAACTTTTCTATGATTTCCTTCTACGTAGGCAGCACACAGCGAAACAAAATTCCAACCGCGTGGTTTTATAAGTTGTTTTGACAGCGACGAATTCTTCAACTTGTTCAGTCGACAAATACTAGATCGTCGGGTCAAGTTTCTTAAGTGGCGTATAGTTGTGCCATTTCGATTTATCTTAAGACATTGGTCATGAGGCTCATGTTTAGCAACGTGTTTTATAAGCAGTAGAGGATCGAAGAACCTTAATCCCTAGGTATTTTCATTAGGATGACTGAAATGCACGCCGATAAGTGAAATCGGAAGTCTGCTTACTGAACACTATGTAAATTGAACGAGGGAAAATGCCAAGCCAACGTCTCATCACACGGCTCAGCTCATCTACGTTATTTATTTACACTGGGGCCAAAATAGCACCAGCTCGGATCCGTTTAACAATGTCACAAATTCACGCTTTGTTCCTAGTTGAGGGTAGAGTGTTTAGTTTTAAAGAAGTAAGTTTCAAACACTCCAGTGCATTGCTTTTCCGCCTCCGGCAGATGGGGCTTAATTTTACAGACGAGAATATTTGCGAAGGCCGGTGTCGCTGGATCCTCGAACGGATTTGCGTGTCTTTTAAACAGGGCACTCCAGTCGATACACCGAGACAAATGGCGATTTTGCAGTCAATCAGGGGCCTTACAAACTTCTGCATATTGTCTGATTCACCTTGGTCAATATAATTCACCTTGCTCTCTCAAAGAACGTTTGCTATTTCGATTATTAATGAAATTTCACTACATTGCCTTGAAAGAATTTCAAGTCCAAGTTTATGTGTTAAAAGCTAGGCATTCACTGATTGCGCGTTTTATTAACTGTACTCTCGACTTGTTTCCCTAGTTCCATGTAACCGTCCTCAGTGGTATGCACTTAAACCTGAGCGTCCAAGTAATCGTGAAAATCTGAAAAAGAACGATCAAAAATAAACTCCGCTATGGGAAACCATTGCTTCATATCTCAGTTTATTCTGGTGGAAATTTTTATCCTGATGCAAAAGCTAAAACAACATTGCATGTGTTACACAAGGCCGCGATTACCCGCCTTGACGTAGAGAGAGGCAATTCTGGCAATTTTCCGCGGCACTTCTTCAGTAAAACTTTGAGAAACGTTTGAAAAAAAAACGAATCGAGTTTCTGCCAAATCTAGTGCTTCGTCTTTAATTTGCATCTAAAGTAATTGACTTTTGGCCTCGATAAGTTCTCTTTAAAAAGCTAAACTACAATACGAAAACATTTCCATGAATGATTTATGAAATGGGCAACAACACAATGGCTTTCGTTTTAAAAATTTGCTTGTTAGTAGTGTTGTTGTACTATTGGTTTTCTGTACAGCATTTCTTCATTTTCTGAGAAAAAAGATTGCTTTTAGCTTACTGCCGGATTATTCGAGTCGTATCTCTGGGCTTTCGATAATTATTTTGTGCGTTTAAGTGGATTGCCAGATGGACTTGTTTTATCACATAAATGTTGAAGTCATTTTGGTGTGGGGTTCAATAGTGTGTGTTCAGTTATATGTGATTATCGTTGAAAAAACGAAAGTTGTGATTCATTTAATCATTTACATTTTGTATTCGATGGGTTTTTATAGGGTAAAAGACGTCCTTATTCCTAAGGCTTAAATCCAGAATTTAGTGGGAAATGCACAAATTCACGAAACTGAACTTGGTCTTGGTCTACCAATTTGCGCTCATAAAATCTTGAGTAATTTTTTCTTGCGCCAAATCTGTTGAACTCATTAAAGCTACCAACGTCAACGAGTTATTTTTAGTGTATAGAGACTAGATGGTTCTTCTTGGGAAGAAAACGGCGAATTTTTTTGGCAAGAGCTTTAATTGTGGTTTTTTGATCACCAGTCATTGACTGCACGCGTCTCAGTATATTTGGCATTTTGTGTAAATATTTTCCTAAACTGTTGAAGTATTTTTACTCGTGTTTAACTTGCTCATAAATCGTTTCTATTTCCAGCTAAAGTCACGACCGTATATAGGCGTACGATCGGTCCTTATAAATGTACTTGACCAGTATCAGATATTCGCACGAAATAACACGAATGCATTCGACAGCACCAATTCCGCCCGGCTTGTCAGTATATATTTCGAATACTCAAGATCGATAAATTCGATTCGCCAAACAAAGATTAGCAAGGGAGCAACATCAAAAACGCCAGCACCGAATAGAATATCATGAATATATAACCAATGCAGCCACTAAAACCGAATCGCCATTTTAGAGGATCAGTAAAAGATCGTATGCAAATGTAGCCCTTGTGTGTTTCTCGTGTGGCTTCGCTCCTCGTAATTAATTACTTTCCATTCGCAGATGACACATTTTGCAAATCATTAGTGACAATAATAAGGTGTTTATACTCTCGGCTGTGTTATTCTCTCAACTGTAAGCTATTCAAAGAGAATAGAAGTTTGGTCCCTGAATGCCTCAGTACTAATCCGTCCGTGAGATAAGCCTGCTTTTGGCCAAGACTTTTTCTCGGATCTTGTTTACTTAGACATAAAATGGTTCTTTTGGCCATTGGGGAGGTTACAAAGCGTGTAGTAAATGGCTCGGTGAGTCGCGGCTAAACAGCTGAACAAGGGCCAATATTTCTTTTCTCAGTGAACAAACAATAAACTGCCTGGTATATTTGCCAGCTATATCGGGCAATGATCAAGTGTTTTCCCCTGACGTAGCCATTACTGTACTTCATATCAGGAAACAATAAAGTTCAAGAATTTCTTTCACGCTATTCAAGTGAGGTGGCAAAAGAGTCTAGGATTCTTTTCGCGAGGAGCGCTTCCACGCTAATGAGCTTTCGCGTTTTTTGTTCTCTGTCTTTGTGCAAACATATCGTAAAGTTAAACTTCGCGAGTAAACACTACAATAATAACAAATGTACGGCGACATAAATTAAAAGGAAAGCGACACTGCTCAAACAGAATTGTTGAAGTAAGTTCTTGACATTACAGTACTTTCGACCATTCTTTTACTATCAGTGTACTATGAGGCAATTCACTTTCAATTCTCTTCCTTGTTTGACATGATGCATATTTAATGTACGGTTCTTTCGCAGCTGTGGTCTTGCCCTTACCGAATAGTTACTACTTTGGGATATATTTTAAGGTTCTTTAATGCCCAGCACGTCACTAATCGCCGACAACGCTGACCTCTTTTCATGATTAATTCGTGTAAAAAGAACCAATAGCACTTTTAAACATTTATATCTTTTAAAGTATTATTGAACATAGTTGTCCCTCTGTTTGCTTGGCAAACATGAAGAATCTGTCAGTCATCTCTCAGGGACTCATAACAGAGTATATATGCCTGACCCGTAGATAAGCTTGATATCACAATGTTGTTTTTTTGTACATGCAAAACAATCGTTGCAACCTAGAAGACGCCAGATTTAGGTATATTATGTCTGTGTTGATTGAAAAACTCCATGTTTGTAGAGCTGTACAAAGTCGCCCAAAATCAGTTTTCATAACAATTAACTATTGTCTCGCACAAATATCGCGTTTTAACCATGTTTTTCGAGTTGCAACTCTGATCAGAAAAACAATTAGACTCACTCAATTAGAAAGCACTCGGCCCGTGAAAAAAAAAATGAGAAGAAATGTTTATTAGACATGGGTCAGTTTAGATCAATAAGCACAGCGTGTGGACCACGATTTTAGCTAAATTGACTTGACCGGAAAGAAGGGGTATAATGCGAAATTCATATGAGGGGGCGTGGGTACTGACTTTCAACGAAGACATCTTTACGACGGAAAGCCCGTGCGAGTTTGCACTCTTTAATCCATCGAGTTTAATACAACTTAATACATAACGATCGTTACTCGTAGATTTTAAATATCAATCTGGGCCGATCAATCTGAGTTCGCATTTAACGTAAATTCTAATCCCGTACGTTGCTTCGATCATAACTGGAGATCGTGTAATGTACTTTGATATCTAGTATAAAACCATTTAAGGTGACGAGTACTGTCACCAGTGACTGCTGTGGAAGAATTTTTTCGCGCTTTCTTATCTACTGTAGAATCTCTATTCCTGTATATAACTGCGAAAGATGGATCTCTGAGATGGCGAGGTTATCCCATAGCAAAGCTTTTTTACGATGATATGTGACTTTCTGCCTAACATCTGTCAATATAAACGATAACACGCAAAATGAGAACTAAAAAGAGAGTCCGATCTCTGACCGTCTTTTAGCGTTTCTTTCAAGACAATATTACTGCAAATTTTAAAATATGCCTTTGAGGAAAATTTTTATCTGGTTGCTTTTACATTTATGGCTTCGATCACAACTAAAAGAAATGTTATCCGATATCTATATTTTCTATCCCATCTGCCCCTAGCATTGTTTAGGCCAAGTTAATAACACCTTGCTCTATTGATTGACAGTGTTGCTATGGTAGCCTTGTAATTAGAGCTTTGCACGCCAATCAGGTAGCTAGAGTTTTTTATACACTCGATCCCAGTGATATTATGTATACCCCATGTTTCTAACCCTCTTGATAAATGCTGACACTTTGCAGAGACAAATCACCACACCCCTGTATTTAGCCTTAATAGACTGATACAAGGAGGAAGGAACTCTTCACTACCGGCGCGATGTTTGCACCACTTCCAGCCCTGAGCTTCACGCCGCAACAGATCGCACAGGTCTGCGAGACCTTGGAGGAGAGCGGAGACATCGAGCGACTGGCCAGGTTTCTCTGGTCCTTGCCAGTTGCCCCTGGAACGTTAGAAGCTCTGAGCAAACATGAGAGCGTGCTTCGAGCGCGAGCTATTGTGGCATTTAACATGGGCAATTTCCGGGATTTGTACCATATACTGGAGACTCATCGCTTCGGCAAAGACTCGCACGCCAAACTTCAAGCCATGTGGTTGGAAGCTCACTACCAGGAGGCTGAGAGACTTCGAGGGAGACCCCTTGGGCCTGTCGATAAGTATCGAGTTCGCAAGAAGTTTCCACTTCCCAGGACAATATGGGACGGAGAACAGAAAACGCACTGCTTCAAAGAAAGGACCAGAAGTCTACTACGCGAATGGTATCTTCAAGATCCGTATCCAAACCCAACAAAAAAGCGCGAGCTGGCGCAGGCTACAGGCCTCACACCGACACAAGTCGGCAACTGGTTTAAAAATAGACGGCAAAGGGATCGTGCAGCAGCAGCCAAAAACAGGTAAAAACAAATTTCACCTTACTTTGGCGCAGTCACAGCTTTGCGTTCGTTCCGTCTGGGTCAGTGGCCTTTGTTGATGTTACTAGTGTACACAAACCTTAACGTGAAAATCCTCTCGAGAAATTTATTTCCCCTTCCAAACGCTAGCATCGAGGCACATATCAGCACGTTTGCAACGGAAATGGGCAAAGGATCCAGAGGGTAAATTGTAGCGTAGAAAAGACGATTCGTGTTTGTTATTGTGGGGGTTTCGAAGACGCATTCTAGACTTCAACACTTCACGAGTCTATTAATTTGGTTTAGGTGGTTTGCAGCAAAACAGATGCCGGAGTAAAACAGCGTTTAATCCTGAAATTTATACCACACGGATAAGTCTATTGATATTCGGTCTCGGTGACAGAGTATATATTTTATGAATGCATGTGGTTAACATACAAATTGTTTCGAAGAGATGCATTTGTTTCAGTCCCTTTATTTCATAGCAGCTTATTCTTTAAGTGAATAAAAGCGCTCAATTGCTTCGGATCTGGCGCCAAAGCGTGTACAGTAACAGCAGTTTGCCGGTCGCATGTGGTTGCTGTACATATGGCTTTTATCCATATCATCGACGGGCTATATACACTCGTCCTAATGAAGGAAATTGATCGAGATACCGTTTCCCCCTGAGATCATCCGGAGTTGTCAGAACATCTCTTAAATTCCACTCTACAATCATTTGTTTGCGCAAGAAATATTTGATAATTTTCTTAGGTACTTAGCTAGGATTATGAGGCGTCTTTGGTTATTTGTTTACCTAAATTTCATCTAATAACTATTTGGAGGCATTACGAAGGCGAGTGGCGGTTTGAATTTTCTGCCTTCACGTGCGGGCGTAGTGCTGATGGCTTGCCAGAAATCAGTGTAATCCTATCTTTGTTAAGTTGTTTTTAATCGTTGACAAGGAAAGATACAAAAAATTAAAAATTGGGCAAAGCAGCGGGAAATGAAGCTCAAGAAAATGTAATCCCTTTAACGTACAAACAGTGATATTAGGTGTGAAGTGGGCCGTCCTCACAGCAGCCAACTTTTACAGGCGATAACAAGCTTTCCCATTTAGCGAGCAAACATTAAAAGTAGATGACGTAGAAAGCTTCAAATATTAATTAAACTCATTTGCACGGTGCAGACGAACAGACGAAGCGGATTGAGCGATATTTAAAACGTTGCCTTGCAAATCCAAATATTATCTATAAACAGTAAGCGAGAGAAGAAAAACATTTCCTTTTCCTACTAGACATTCCTGGACACGAAGGAGAAGCAGCTCGAGTGTTTATTTATTCGTTGTTCCGTTTGGTTTCGATTGCCCTGTGTGTTTGGGACGTAATTATTCTTGAATGCAATTTAAGGTTATAGTAATCTTTAAATCGCACAGTAAGACCGTCTTGAGAACTAATGAAGTATTTATTTGAATGCAATTTTATTGATATGAGCATCAAGACCCACAGAGTTCTTTCCTCTTAGAAAAGAGTCAAACTAACCCCAAACAACACGGGTTTGTGTACAAATCTCCTGGATTTTCTTTTGTCAGTTTCTCCAAGCAATTCGGTTTACGTTTTGACGAACACAATGTAATCTGATGGAGTGATTACAGTTAGCTCTTAACAAAGATCTTAGCTGGATATTCACTATGGCCACGATTATTCTTCTTGGTGAAATAGTTCATGAATACAATTCAAAACCATTCACACCTTGCACAGGAAAAGAGAACCGTGCAGTAATGAGAGTCATTAATGCCATTAGTCGGGCCGGCTATCCACAAATTTCACGCCCAAATTCATCAAACTTAACAAGAACAAAGTGGAAAAACTGTCTCTTTCATTTAGTAATGAACAGAATCAATTCTTTCAATGGCGTTGTTATTATGTAACATGCAAGATCTAGCCTTTTCCTATCCTGAAGGCTTATTGCCTCTTTTTCAAGAGCATAATTGACCTGGAAACAACTCGTCAAAGTGCTTTCTTGAAACTCTCCTTCTGGCTATTTGAGGTCGCCTTTCGACAAACAGTGTATGAATAGCGAGCATTTTAAGAGCAAAGGGCTCAACATCTAATTTTTTTCAGTTAAGGACACTTTCAACAATATCATTTATGAAAACAACTGAAAAATAACCGATAATGGGCTAACAAATTTACAATATGAGTGTTTTATTTGATAATGGATGAGTGGGAGCGCTTGTATCATAAAATTATACCAAAGGTAAACCTTTGCCTTATCGTATTAACTGTTGTTCCTATCCGTTCCTTGCGAACAGTTATAAAGTACAATCTTCTATTTTTTTTCTTAAATTTTGTTTTCGAACCCCGTGAAGCCCCGTATTTACACCCTGATTTCACAATGGTGTCTCATAAAAAGTAATTTTGGTCATTTACAGCTGTAACGATTTATTTTCTCTTATTTTTGGATGATTAGTAAACTTCAGTGTCACCGTATTAAAAAAGTGGAAGCGTTCATTGTAGAAAACCGTTTCGGCCTCCAAATGTCGTTAACGATGAGATTGTGACTCGTCTTTTCTATAATTAAAAACTCTACTTCGCTACAAACTTACTGTTTGTGCATTAACATGTTCAAATTACGACTCCGTCTCCGACTCCTTCCAGTCTAAGTCACGGTTTGGATCATTTCTCATTCTACCTTCAGTTGCATCTGCGGACGAAATCCTATGGTGTGACCATTAAAATGAAAGCCACTGAGCAGTAACTTCTTGTGGTACTGTTTATTATGCTGTATAACTTTTGCATCTGCGGACGAAATCCCACGGTCTCACCATTCAAATGGGTCCCGCTTTGCAGAACTTTTGGATGGCAAGTTATTTAGATCTTAGGATTTTTGCACTATCACGATCGAAAAGGATACACTGCTTAGGGTTAAACGCTCTTTATTCTGTCATTTACTGAGGGTACTAAAACAAACCAGTCCCCCTTACCAAACCAGAATAAATACGGTAAACGTTTTTAGAACACATGCATTGTATAATGTTATAATGCCAAAGCTCTGAGATTCAGTCTCCTCCCGTCAACGAAGTAATCAAACACGATACACTGGTCTCTTTTTAAAAATAACACAAATCAAAAACCTATTCAACAGCACGCATTAAGCAAACACACTGACGCACAGCCTGCAGTGTTTTTCCTACAGGGGAACTACCACACCTGACTTCTCTCAACTTTTAGCTCAATGGAAACCTTTGTGATTCACTGTCGAGCGTCATGAACCCTCTAACGTTACGCTCTCCTATTTTTCTTTTCACAGAATGAACCTTAACCAACAAGGGCAACACATATCTCAATGCAAGGCGGGCTATTCGCCAGAGGGAAAAGCTATGGAAGACTTTCGCGGGCTAAAAAATTCACCAATTTCTGATTCAACAGAGGATTTACACAAAGGGGAATGAGATTAGAGAAGAAACCAGGAAATAAGGATTTGAACAATTGTATTAAAGAGCGAGAGAGAGACAGACGACTTCTGAGTATCGATCTCCATGGTGAATATTTAATGCGGCCGGAACTCTTGTGGCCGACCTGGTCTGAGGCGACGCGACTCTCGGTCAACACTTTTATCTTTAAGAAACTCAAGTTCAAGAAACGATCGAACAAAGTTCATCTGGCAAACATCATAACGACGCATGGAGAATGAACTGCTCAGAAACGCTTTCACTTATGTAACTGTGCCAATTTCGCAAAATTTCGTTCACCAACTCAAAAAACTATTGCTTCCACACCATTTTTAGTCCTATATATATTAATTATTCTGTGAGCAAGAGGATTGTACAAAGCAAAACAGCAAAGAACTTTAAAAGCTAGAAAAAAGTTTATTGGCAAATTTTGAATTGTTGTACAGATTTAAGAAAAAAAATATTGTTGTAAATGTTCAAATACTATATAAATATTATTTGCGACCAGCGCAGTTCATGTAGCATAAAATTTTCACAGTACAGGGCTACCCCGTTGGATGGACTCAAGAACAATTTTTAAAAAATACATTCAACACGACGTGGCTGACATTTTAAGGTTTGATGATGCGACGTCGTTGCTTCGCTATCATGAGGTTACAGGACGAGGAACGATAAAAGGAGAATAAAGTTGTCGAGAATAAATGATATTTACTGTTTTCCTGTAATATATATGACAGTAATACGCGATCGGCACACTGCACGTACGTAAATCCTGGATTCTTTTTTTAGAAGCTGTTAGCTTTTTTTTCTCTATTGAACTGATCTTAAGTGTGCTGTTTTGGCGTTGGTGTCATCTTCTATTCAGCTGTTGCAGTTTTACATTAATGGACTATCTATTGTCTTTGGCTATTCACACTTCTCTATCTAGCTCCTTGTCTTTTCCAACTATTTTCACTGGCCGATTAGCATTTGAAAAAGAGAAAAAAAATTGATAATAGATATCTTTTATTGGACAGCCTGAAAGTGACAGCGCCGCGTTAGAACGATTAGCGCTTTGCCTTAGGGCCCGTGAAAAGCGCGCTAATTGCTAGCAATTTCTATTATCCTTCGCTACAAATGGCGTCCAAACAGTGCTTTCAAAGACAAGGACACCGTTTTGCGTTACATTTCTATAAGGGTTCCTTTATCGATTGAAGATGTCAGACTTATGTCAAATACACTCCTACTGATTGCCACCCAACAATGGTCAATTACCATAATGTCCTAGTGTAATGTCTCTGTAAACAGAGCGATTATCATGAAAAAGTCGGAGGCCACGAATGCCTTAAATGTTCTGCAATCACTACAGTCACTTATGTCAAGTCGTTAATAAATACGCTTAGCACTCTTTTTTTTTTTCTTTCTGACATTCTAAAACTTGTTCTAATACGGAGAACTAAAGCCAAGATAGATATTTCTTCCCAAACAACCAGATGTCTATAACTCTAAGGCTTTTCAAAGATAACAGGAAAGTGCAGTATTGTAAAAGATACGCTATCAGCGTGAAAAACATATCGGGTCGAATGTTGTCATATGCGGTTGGGCTCAGTAACTCACTGGAATGCGACAGGATTCTCGATATCCGATTATAGAAGAAAACACTTTAAAGCTTATCGATCTGTCATTCAGAAGACATCGTCCAAATATTTGCCCAACTATCCTGATAACGCAAATAGTTATCTTAATCTTCGTGGGGTTATCTCTTTCGAAATACCAAGCTATCTAAAATAACCATTACTGGAGAGAACGTAGAACGGCAAGGCAAATTTCTAGCGAAAGAAAAACTTGCTAGGATTTGGCGACCCACCGTCACTGGAGTGCAAGGCTACGACAGTGTGTCTAGCCTAGTGTTTGATATACTGTCGTATCATTAGATTATCGCTTTCTCAAAGCTTTCATGACACCTAAAGCACCGGAAGAGAGGAATTTATTGTAATACGTCCGAAACCAAACAAAACCGATATGCACATAAAGCGTTTTAAAAAGGAGAAGTAAACAATTTCATTTTGGAAAATCAACACCATTTCTAACCAAGAAAGGGGTATACTCGCAAAACAAATGTGACCTTCAGCCTCCATCGGGTTGAGTGTCGAGTTTTTCTAAAGCGTTTATCAGTTAACATTTGCATATGTATAAAGAGTTTATTTGGCTGTCTCCAAACAGATGTAAAGCATTTTGCTAAAAATTCAATAATTGCTGTTTATCGAAACTCGTAAAATCGGGGTAAAACCACGTTCGATATTGATTTTATCTCGTTCTAAGATAGCAAAAACAAACAAGAAAACCACTTACTTAAGTGGAATTTTTAGCGTTTGGCCTAAGATATTGTTGTGGTTCTTAATAAATGGTTGCCTTTTTAAAGCGCCATTAGAAAGCCTTTAATTGACTATTCAACGTTGGCTCTGTGTGAATTTTCAATGCCAGACTACAAAAGCGTCGAAACGTGGAAATCTCTCTGATTTTATTCGCCCTCTTTGACCGGTGCGGGCCATTATTTTTCCACTCGTGTTTAAACCAGAAGAGAGCTACTGTATTCTATATTTTTCTACCATTTAAAATACAAATGCAGTGAAACCTCGACTGATATAGCGAACTTCTATGTAACGAAGTCGTCGTTATAACGAACGATTTTATTTACCCCAGTAACAGTAAAATATACCATGAAAAAGAACCTCGATATAACGAAACCTCGATACAGTACACATATAGTTTTATTGCATAGATAACAGGTTATTTCTGTTTTAAGACCGATTCAACTCAGCAGCTGACCCACAAGTCTGTAAAAGTACGTATTCAACGACTGAAATCCACTCATAACAAGTTAGTGAATAAAACCGGGTATGCCATAAGAGCACGATGCGAAACAGAGAAAGGATTTCTTTTTGGATTATTCTTATTATCTATTTATTTTTATTTCGCGTTCTGCAGCCATTGGTTTCTTAAACACAAATAAGTTCGGCAGTACTAAACACATATTCAAACAGCTCAGTTTATCCACCTTAAAATAACACTGCGTGTCAAGTCAGAGTCTAGAAAACTAAAAAACAATCCTATTTTACCACACATTTGAATTGAATCCCTTCTATGCCATTTTTGTATCATTCAAAAAAGGGAAATTGATATGAAACGAATTGATGTATACTTAATGACATTGAAAACCATTTTTAACACCCTTTTTAAATACATTTTGCTCGTATTTTCTTAATTATCTGACATGCAGTGTGAAAGGATGGAGAAAAATATAATGACAAAATAAAACATGACAAAGCTCAGTGCAAATTGTCTCTGCGCGCGATCCGTCTGTTCGTTTATTTTCCGTCCATAAAACAGCTGAAATGTTTCGAGACGGATGCATGCATGATGCAGCATCTTTGAACAAAGAATGATCACTAGATTTCAGCACCGTCGCTTACTCCTTTGTTTAGCTGTGGTTTTAATGACTCTGTCGTAATTCAAACCAAACGTTTGTGAGTCTTGTATAGTACTAGCATATCGATGACAGAAGTTTCTTTCACTTCACTCATTTTTAATTGGAAGTTTCATTTATAGCCATTTGTGCAACAGACAAAGCCGGAAAGGCCAGGCATGTAAGGATTTTATTTTTACATAGGGGATTTTTTTGACAATGGCCTTTATATTTACTCTTTCATGCAGTTTCTGTTTGGTGTTCGTATCATGATCCGTTGTTGATGCACTGCTATACATCTTACGATAAACGTACTATGTGATCAGGAAATATCGAAGTTGAATATTACCCACAATGAGTGAAATAAAATGCGAAGGTTAAGGAAAAAAAACGGGTTCCTTTCACTAAGCCTAGGGGTGTTCAGCGTTTTTTATGTTATCATAAGTTTTTTATTCTTATTTTTATTTTTTCCGATGATCTTAAAGCTGCAGTACTTTCCTGTGGTACTATTTTTTATGCTGTACAAGACGGTTCTAACTTTTGAGGCTGTGGATGAAATCCTTAAGTGTGACCATTCAAATGAAAGCTATCAAGCAGTACTTTCCTATGGTACTGTTTATTATGCTGTACAAGACGGTTCTTACTTTTGAGTCTGTGGGTGAAATCCTAGAGTGTTACCATTCAAGTGAAAGCTACCGAGCTGTACTTTCCTGTGGTACTGTTTATTATGCTGTATAAGGTGGTTCTTACTTTTGAGTCTGTGGATGAAATCCTAGAGTATTACCATTCAAATGAAAGCTACCAAGCAGTACTTTCCCAGTACGTACCAGCGGGGTCCGCCTATCCTCTGGGTTTCTGGGCAAAATGCTATGGTGTTACCATTCAAACGAAATTCTGTAGCAGTTCTTTTGCATTGTACTAAAAAAAAGCTTTTCACCTCGTCACTGGTCCTAGACGAAACCAGAACAATCTTTTCATAATTGCTGGTGTCCTCTAAAACGTGGTTACACAAGAAATATGGTTCACAGGCTGAAAACGTGGAATTACACACGTATCTTTATTCATAATGACTTCTTAAGCTAAAAGCCTAACCACTTAATTTACCTGTCTGAAAATCGTGCCAAGATTTCTTTAACAAATATTCGTGACTCACCATTGCAGATTACTAAAACAAGATCTTTCTTAAAAGAAAGATCTTGTTGGGGATTTTTCACAACACAATAGACAACACCCTTAAGAAAAATGGTCACTGGAAATCACCATTTAAAATTAAAAACAAAATCTTCGCATTTGGAAACTACTTAAGAAAATCTCTAATGCGCAAAGAACCTAGGCTATGATGTATTCAAAGCCGATTTTATTCAATCAATTAAGTCTTAAATCGTTTAATACCTACTTAACTCAAGTTTTGATAGAGCGCCGGACTTTTACCTGTTCTTTTCCGTTGGTTCTAATGAATATCGAACCAAACAGTAAAGCCTAACTCACAAATATCGATGACGAGACCAAAACTATAGTCAGTGCTTTGGGGTCTTGGTCTCATGGAGCCGCAATCCAAACCGGCTTTCATACGGTACATACAAGAGTTACAGACAAAGAATTCAAGACTGACCCCACTTTGCTTGGTGTTGGATTCTTCTTACGTCATACGCCGTCCTCACAGATAGTTTTGAGGTTTGGAAGAACTTGTGTCGTGTGAAGTAATGTTTTTGGTGGCATAATTTAGCTAAGGTTTGATGCCGTAAACAATTCATATAAATTCTGTCGTTAGTGGTGAGTGCTATATCAAGTTTTACCTAAGGAAGATTTATTATTGTTTCAATGGGCGGTTGTGGAATACAATGGCAACCGGTTTTTCTGAGGCGTTGTGTGGCTGTTTTTTGCAAGATGACCCTTGCACACTCAAAAGTCGGAAAAGATGAAATTCAACAAAATTTAAAACTGTCCAAAGTGCTGAAAAGAAAATATAGTACCCTGTGAAAGTACTGCCAAAGAGCTTTCAAATAAATGGTCACACCATAGGACATCGTTCACAAACCACCCTCGCGGGGTACTCTCTTATATAACCCATATAGGTATGTGCCGCCCCAGAGGGTATGGTACTGGTTTTAACGCCGTTTGGCGCAGACTTTACCCATTTTGGTCTGGAATCGGGTATGCTTTTCGAGGGAACTATGGGAGTGTATGAACGTATTAGTCGTTTCAATTCCAAATAAAAAAAGAAAGATAAGATTAATTTGCGAATTCAGTC